CGGAGCTCGTCACTGTGCGAGCTAGAGGTCAAAGCGCATGACTGGGATGAGTGGCGTTTTATTCGTGAAGTACTCGCACTCGAAAATGTTATCGCGAATTCGACCTCAAGCTTACCGCTATCACCTAACTACAAAGGGTGTGGTCCCCGAGTGATGAAAGTATCATTGCACTCCGAACGGATGGCAGAACAGATGCTCAAAATGTGGTAAAAAAGCGTGAAATGCGGCCGTCCGAAACATGTATAAAGGCAACAGGCACTGGCCCACAGGTAGACAATGTAACACTAAGCAAGCAACTTACCAAAACAATTCGCTCACCGTGTAGCTCAGATGGGAAACAATGCCGAAACCCACCGACAGCTGAAGGAGGACAGCATGGTCACCCTATTTTTGGCGCTGAGAACTCTATACAACAACCTGAACTGGCGCTAGGCCCTGCATCACCGGTCCTACCAAATCGATCGGCAGCCGACTTCGCAAGGGTCGACATAGACCCTCAACGGAAACCAACAGTTACACACACGCCTCCGACCACCGATGCTTTTACCCGCTTGTATACCAGTGCACTAGGTCTTCTCAGCGAGCTAACCGAACTTCCTATGCGTCAGGTCTCCAAGCTTTGGACCTAGCTATGGCTACCGAAACATGGCTGAACACGGAAATCACTGATGTTGAGGGCGCAAAACCCGGCAGGATTGCCACACGAAACGATCGACCTAGCAGAGGAGGGGAGTGCTGCCGTATTATCGATCAGACCTGCAGGGGGATGGCATTAAGCACACAGAAACACAAGTCGACGACGTCCTTTGGTGTCGTATGCATCTAAGACGTGGTGATGTGTGTTTACTAGCAAGAGTTTACGGCCCCCAATGTCCACCTTGGAAATGGATAAATGCCTAATCACCGCGATAAAACGAGTCTTGGCACGACCATACAGTCACGTACTTCTGATTGGAGACTTCAACCTGCACGCAATCAAAGTTCAGGCATTGCAATGCGAACAATTCCAAGTGGATTTGCAAGAGGTGGTCGCCGAGGTACCTCTGTACAACCATGTCACCTCACCCACGCGATTCCAAACGAGTGACACACCCTCTGTTTTGGACCTTGTACCCCCAAACGAGGAACTAATGGTCGAGAGGGTGAGCATAGATGCACCACTTGGCCGTAACGATCACGCGACTTTGCTGTTTCGTTACATCTGTTACTCGGAATGCATCAGTGAGAACAACGTGAAAACCTACGTCGTTATACATTACGAAAAATTGTACAACTTCCTTCAAGAAACAGCCTGGTCCTTCCTGGCCGAGAAGCCGCCCGATGTCGCCTGGATGTTGTGCGTCACCTAATTCACTGAACTAGTGGCAAGGCGTCAGAAAGCAAGATCCTTCGCCCGAAGCAAGTGAATTCTTTCCTGAGGAACCGTAATGGAAAATGCATGCCTCAAGTGGTTCAGCCTGGCGCGCTTACAATTTCTGTCCAAGTAACCGGACCTGGGAGGCTTACAGAACCCAAAGAAACCACTGCGTCAAGTTGCTCCGCAAAGACAAACCTCAGCACCAAGAGAACTTAGCGTCGAAATTTAGTACAAATACCTAGTTGCCGTACAAACACGTCAAAATGCTCCACAGAGTGCAGCGCTGTATCCCGGTTTTATGCGCAACAGGTGGGCTTGCGCAAAGCGCACAAGATGCAGCCAACTTGCTTCGCCAACGTTGCACCCATGCTTTCCGGCGTGAGTCATCCTTTCACTCGCTTTTACACAGCTTCTATCGACACCAGGGTAAAACCAAGTATCGTTCATGGCAGCCAATGTGATGAAAATGCTAATTTCTTTGCGCGTTCACAACTCGCCTGGCATGGAGGACATCAAAGCGAAGGCCTTAAAGGCAGCGACCGTGAACCTTATCGAACCATTGGCCCAGTTATTTCAACTACGCTCGCGATGAAATGCAGGTTCCGGCAATGTAGAAACACGGACCAGTCACCTCTTTTTACAAAAATGTTTAACGTTCGGGGCCCTCGAAATACAATCCTACTTTTATACAAAGTGATCAAACGTATTCTTGCAGAGGCGCTCGTGGGATAGCTTGAGAGCACCAACATCATAGTGTCACAGCAACACGGATTCCGCCGAAATCGATCCAGCATTACAAACGCTGCTAGTCTGAGCAAGCTGGATAGAGTCCGCCGATGCCAAAGTGGCAGACAAGGTTGTCTAGCTGGACTTCTCGAAAGCAGTGGATCGTATGGACCACCGCATTCTCCTGCACAATCTTCGAAGCTATAAAATCAATACCCCTATATCCGGTTGGATCGGCAACTTCCTCGCTCAACCTCAGCTGAATGTGTGAGTCCGCAGACCCATTTCCGATCCAATCGACGTCCAGTGTGGCGTGCCGACAGGATCGCTACTGGGGCCAAGTTTATTCCTAACCTTCAGTAACGATCTCTACAGCCTACTGCAGTCGAATTTCCTACTATTTGCAGATGGTATCCAAATTTGGCAAGATATCAGGACATCGGATGATCACATGGCCTTGCAAAGCGATCTCGACAGGGCTTATGCTTGGTCAGCCGACGACCGGCTCTATTTCAAGGTGAGCAAGTGGAAACTTATAAGCATACGTCAGCAGCTTATCTATGAATATCGACTTGGAGACCAGCAGGTACGACGTGGTTCCCAAGAAAATGTCCTCGGGGTGATCGTGCACGACGACCGTGGTTGCTCGCGACAGGCTGAAAAGGCATCAAAATGAGCCAGTCAACAGCTTAGTATCTTAAGAACCGCCTTCGGATATGTCGAGTCACTATTCTTTTCGCAAATGCTGAATACCTACGTGAGGCCGCAAGTGGAATATGCGATGCAGGTCTGGCATCCATGGCACAAGCGCGACGTCGATGCACTTAAAGATCCGCAACGTAGAGCGACCAAACTCGTTAGAGGATCGTTTCCTCTCTCCTACGAACGCAGTTTGTAGTTCCTGAGATTGTACAGTGGTGAATATCGACGTCAGCTAGGAGACGTAATCATGGATTACTTAATGTTGACGAACCCTACTCACCCATGTCGCAAACTGTTTCAGTTTAGTTGAAATACCAACCCGGGAAGTCATCTGCTCAAACTGGCTACGCACTACAGTCGAGTTGATTGTCGACGCAACTTTTTCTCTCTCCGTGTGTCCCGTGCCTGCAATGCCCTTCCGACTCACGTTAACCTTGCTTCTACATTAGCTTAGCAAAAAACGCAATGATGTAACGCTTTCAAATTTCCATTACTCGTTATGCTCCTTTGCACTTATAGGATGTCGTAATGCAAACTTAACCATTTGCTTACCGGCACTATCCGCAACGTGGCGGTGAGGATACACGCAGTAGTGTCCACGTGATTTGCTTGGATGTAACTAAATTGGATTAACAGTGAGCGGTTCTGTTGGGCCCACGGCTTTACAGACAGCTCTGGACAAGCTTTGGGAGTGGTCAGAATTGTGGCAGCTGCCAGTCAATCTTGCAAAGTGTTCGGTCCTGCGCATAGGATCAAGCACTCCCACAACTTCTTACGTACTTGGCGGAACTGTATTGCGTCAAGTGACTGAACAAACTGACTTGGGTATCTCGTTATCCTCTGACTTCAAATCCAGCGAGAACTGGACAAATGCTACCCGTAAGGGTTTCCGAATGCTGTGGATGATCCGCAGGTCATTCGGCATTATAACAAATGAAATGTTCGTTATATTGTTCTCAGCCTTCGTCAGGCCATACTTGGAGTACTGCTTGCAGGCCTGTCCTCCATGCTTGGTACGCGATAAGATGACACTTGAACGAGTTCTGAGGGTTGGTACGAAAATGGTACAAGGATTGAGGCATCTCTCGTATCCCGATAGGCTGCTCAGGTTGCAGATGTTTTCGCTGCACTATAGGCGCCTTCGGGGAGACCTGATTCTTACGTACCGTATATTGACCAACAAGATTGGGCCTGATCTAACTGGACTGTTCCAGCCGGCTCAGATGTCTTCTCTTCGTGGTCACCCTCTGAAGTTGCATAAGCCTAGATCTGATCACGTTAGAGCTGACGTTCGGTTGTCACGCAGGGTCATCGACTCATGGAACGCACTACCCAGCGAAGTAGTGTTAGCACCAACGGTGAAGGAGTTTGAACATCGACTCGACGCCCTTGGGTTACAGTTTCAGACCTTTCCGTTTAGTTCTTAACTTTTACATCTATTTCCTTGGCTCCTCACATCTATTACTATTATTGTCTTAACCACACATTCTCTCCTGTACTACAATTACCATTATTTTGTTTTTGTTGGTTCCCTTCTCTTAACCTTTATTCTATTCACGTGGCCGGTACAGTGGGGACTGCTAGTGCAGGCCGCGTGGGCATTGATTGGTTGACCGTTATGTGATTCGTGTGTATTGATTTGGCTCCTCTCGGCTCCAAACCGCTCCCGCGAACTCCATCCTGGTTCAACGACGCATTGAAGAAGGAACACACATGGGAATTCTCCTACCGTTCCTGTCCAAATTGAACTTGAACTTGAACCTATCACATCTGTCGAGCGAAGTAACAAACGAGCGACCGTTGTTGTTTCCTTCTTATTTCTCACGCACTTACTGAACTGTAACACCTCTCTATATTAGTTTGTTTGTGCACGTCTCATTCCCAAATAAAACTATCGTTATGTATTAGTGCATCCAACGCGGTGGACGCTTGAAATAACGATTTATTTATTCGATGATCCTATAAACTTTAATGTTTACTCCACCCATCCTGCGGGACTTGTCAAGCATATGCTTTTTACCCGTGACAAACCATTGTTCATTGTTCATTGACACTCTTGGGTGGCAACACGAAACCTTTCCCTTTTCCTGACTAATTCGCTTCTTCATATTTCGATGCACTTTTCTCTATTTTCCTGCAGGCATTGGTATTATTTCTTATTTCAAGTGCACTTTCTTATTCCGTACCTTTGATTTCTCTTCCTATCCTTTACTTACTTCACGTGACTGCCACAGCAGGGACTGTAAGGACAGGAAACTTGAGAATTAAGTGGTTGGCAAGGTTGCGATACAAGTGTTCGGTTTTAGATTCATTAATAACGCTAATACTTCATCACATCCTGGCTCATCGATCCACTCAAGATGGAACACTCACGAGATTCCCCTATCGGTCCAGTCCCACCCGAACTTGAACTTGAACTGACCTTGACGCGCCAGTTGTGTACTCATATTTTTCTCGCCACGTTCGCACACGTCATCGCGAAATGGGGCTCTTTGATCTTGATCTTTTTGACGATTTTCGGAGGATGAACATGCGACAAGTAACAACTCCTCGCTTTTTACTGTCCACAGGTTATGTACCAAGTGCTAAACATATTGTTGGTTGTATCCTCAGCTCTAATGCTATGGAAGAGTCTAATTTTATTAAGTTACAGTGAGAGCCCTCTGGTTGTTGTTCTGAGGTATGTTACCGCCGATACATTTAACTTTTTCAGCGGTAGCATGGAACCAGCTTTCTATCGTGGTGATGTTTTATATCTCACAAACTATCCCGACGAGCCTATTCGCACTGGTGACATCGTCGTGTTCAAAATAGAAGGCCGGGATATTCCCATCGTGCACAGAGTCATCAAGGTACACGAAAGGTATGGTTCCATTTCTACATAACACGGGCGACCGAAAAACGTCCCCTGGAGTGACCGTTGAAGCACCTTGAGTAGCCGTTTTTTCATGCCGTTGACCGTCACAGTGAGACTCATTTGGTAGGGAATTTAGTCACTCCAAACATTTTTCCACTGCAATCTTCACATTTACTATAAAGGCGTTTTCATGGCTGCAAATACCGATTACCGTTTACGATTCCCAAATCGTGATTACGTAGTACTGAAGCTGAACGGCTACACCGAAAGTTTTTGAAGACAGCAGTTCAGGTCCGGTTCAGTTCTAAGGACGGTACAGTCTTCCGCCTAACGAGCCTCCTGTTTCCTGCACCGGTAAGCGAACCAGAGCTCAGATACTTCGAGGTCTGATTAACTTCCACGGTTTCTGCAAAAGATTGGAGCAAAGACAAAGAATTCTCTGTGCGAGATTACGGCGACATGGTGTAATAAAATTACAATAATTCTGGAGAATGTACGAGGCAACACCTATGCAGGCCTTTACTAATGTCTCCTACTATGCTGCATTCTATTAATGCTGGAGATAGCTTGCTCCAGCTATTGACTACATGATTCACGAAGAATTTCCCCCCGATATCCAACTTAGTTCTCTGATGTCTGAGCTTCAGTTGATGATCCCGCAGGTAATATGACGCGGCTAGCTTAAACAGTTCGGTATACTAGGTACCATTAAAATTCTTCCTGATTTTAATCGTCTCTATTTGGTCCCCTCAATCTTCGCCTTTCCATTGAATACAGACATAAGCTCTTTAAGCGTTCAACTTATGGTTTTTCACTTTTGTTTCAACTGTTTCGCTGAGACGGCCAGAAGCATTAGAAACGGTCAATTAGGGCGCTCAAACGGTCACTCGGTCACACGATTTTATCAACAAGTGGACTTGTGGTCACAGATTGGTTGTGTTAATGATGCACAATACTATTTAACAAAACATATGGTACTGTTATACCAGTGTTTTTACTTTATTTTTGCCTTTGAAAGTGGCCAAAAACGCCCAAGTGGGACTGCTGTCGGCGCTGTCCCTTAAACCAGATACTCTCTCCATTCTCTCTCCATTCTCCATTCTCTCTCTCTCCATTCTTCGCGACCAGATTAGGTCTGAATATCGTAAGATGGTTGGCGTACCTTCGTGAATCCACTGTGCTATACCCGATTACACTTTCCAAGGGCTTTCTCAGAGCTACTTATATTTAATACCTCGGTTGTGGGTCAGTTCAATTAAGCTTCATTTCCGAAGGTTGAGGAGAGGTCCATCACATCGTGACTGTGTTATCTTATTGCGATGGTTTGCGTGCCTCAATGGACTCATTTAGCTATGCTGGTTGGTGCTTATCACATCTTCAGTTACTCATACCAGATTGATCAATGGCTAGGGGCCTGAAAAATTCTGTCTACTTGTCCTCCAGTTTGTACGTTTGAATGAAAGTGGGCCATGTGTTGCGCATGCCTGAACACCGACTCCCGCAACGTACATTGTTTGCGCGCCAGGAGAGAAGGAGGAATTAAGGCCCTTACTTCGAATTTATCTTCGGTTGGAGCCTGACTGCTCCAACTTTTGGCTAGTTACATTTGTTGATATGGCTAGGAATCTACCTCAGTAGTGTTTGTGTTGGGAGCTTTTGTCTCTCCTCTCCCGCTTAGCACCCTCCAACCACGATCTCATTTCGGACACAATATAACTTTAACGGTAAATAATGGACTTAGCTCTCGGGAACGATGTCCACCCGTTACTAGTAACTCAGCTGGCATGCCTCTGTTGTTTCTTTTTCCTTTCCCATGTATCTAACTAACGTGCTAATGAATGAATTTTATTGCTTATAACAAACTCCCACTAGTACACTGTCAAACCCGCTGCATTGAGGTCAGGTCTTAAACTGACGGCTTTTGTTGCGCACCCGAGTCGTTATGCTTCTTTTTATTCCTAGGCAACCTGACAGTATCTAGCCAACGCAATACAATGAACCATTTTCCAACAATTTTTTATGCCATAGTCGTCGCAGAGCGTTATCAACAGCGCTTTATCTGCCGCATCGAGCAAGTTGAATAGTGACGTGGATGCTGCTGCTACTCCGGCGTTCCCGTCTTCTTATTCCTCCTCTTATGGTTTTCATCTCTGTCATTTCGTTCCAGTCTCACTTCTATCCCTCCGTTTTATCCCCCCCCCCCCAATTTTGGCCCGTCCCCACCTTGCATTATAAAGCGCACCAGCAGTACGCCGGTACGCAGCACCGACGTTTCGCTGCCGCGAAACCACCAGCAGTTGCACCTGGGCTGAGGATACTGCGAGGGTCTCCCGGTCCCTATGCGGGCTCGAACGCGCGCCGTCAAATTACAAGGCAGGGTACGGCCAGTATTATATGGTTTCTTTTCTAGTTTCGACTTACACGCAATCACGAAGTACCACCCCTGCTGTCGACATGTCCGTGTCTAACCTCTCAGACAACCTCATTTCCTCCTTATCTATTTAAAGCTCTCTGTCCTCGCTAAGGTTGGCATGGTTTAACGTACACACTTTGCTATAGATCGGCAAACAGGCAGCACTTGCTCGAGCGCTAAAAACACTATCAATCGACATCTGATGCTTATCGATAATCCGCCTGCGAGACTTAAGCTCCATACTCACTGTACGATCTCCATGTGACACTGACGGTACTTTATCACTGCATCCGGGGAAAATGCAGCTTTGAAGGCCGACCAGACCGGTGTGGGCAATGCTCAGCTCCACGGCTGTAGCTGCTCTGCTAGACTGGGTCCCAGTCAGTAGCCTGATGTGCACTGTTCTGTTAGCTTTCTCGTACAAAACTTTGAAGTCGTGCGAGTCCAGTAAGTGCTTTTTTGTCATTGCCGCGTGCGACACCCCAAACCGTAGCGCTGATCTGAACACAAGTTGGAAAATTGTCCACTGACAAGCTGCGTTTGTGCTGCCAATACGGTACAGGCTCTCGTAGTCATAACGCTGAGCGCTTGTTGCACTTATGTGAAAATGCTTGTCTATTTTCCGCGAGTACTAACTTTCAACCCAGCACTCGCAGTATGGTAACATGGCACCCATCAGCTTCGAACCGGTTATAGACGCAAACCGACCGCATCGCGACTAGTTATCGCTGTAGAGCTTGCGTCCAAAACGCCCGCTCGATTTGGAGCACCAGCACGGACTCCAACCATGCACTTGTGTATGGTGATCTTCGGGTGTGCTTCGGCGGTCGCCCACGACGACTTGTAAGGAGCTTCTTAGGTCCTGAATTCCGAAATAACGCTTCTCCGTTGTTGGTTGTCGCAAAAATGTAGAAGCATGTATTCCCATTCATGTATGTGGATTTTTCCCACAAATGAATAACTGAAGAACACTTGCCAGGGAAGGCTGCGTGGTGTTGCTAGATCTTAGTGTACAGTTACAGTGCAGTGTACAGTGTACAGTTAGTGCATCGATTGCGTAATGGTTGAACCTTTTGAATAGTGGTCAGTACAGGTGGTAAAAGTGTCAGCTGACCTAGGGTAATCTCCTGCCAATGTTTGTGTGACAAATACATGCGCGTGCTCAGTATAGACTGATGTTACTACAGACTTGCTGAGTGCATTAAACTCCACCAACTGGTGAAGCCAAATGCTCGGAATGCATATCAAAGTACGCTGGCATGCGGGTTGAGCAATTATTCACCGAACACATTTTTAGGTCACTGATCGCATGTTCCCTAAACCTTATTGACAGTAGATGTGTCGTGTGACAAATCTGATTGCTAACATGGTCATTGAGTCTCCATGTGGTTTCTTGAAATTCTGGCTGTTCGGTGACTCATTCCGGATGGGAACTAACACCGATGCACGAAAAGACCTCAGAGCTAGATTGCGTACTAGCCTGATGGGAGAGCGCGATGCCTAGTGGTCTCATCATGCATCCTAGACGGAAATAGCCGATGCCCTTAGTAGTCATCGCAATTTATTCCGTCTGATAGGGGAAACAAGCAGCAGGAGACATAGTGTTAGCGGTACTAGATGCGACGAGAATGGACTGTCTATCTATAGCTTGTCAAAACACCTACAGCGTTGGGCTGAGCATTTTGAAAACCATTTTATTCGACCGGAATTACCAGATTATCTACCGGTCAGTGATCGGCCAGGTCTCTAGCCCTTCCCTTTGAATTTGCCCTCACACAGAACTCGAACGTGAGGTTTGACTGTTGGCCTGAAACAGGATACAGGATCAGATAGGTTTCCCCAGCCTTCACCTTCGGGTGATCCACTATTGTAGACTATTTACGCGATTTATTGGCGAAACTATGGGGCAGGAAACTGCCAACCGGCTGGAGCTGCTCTTTTTCGGAATGCCGCGATCATAAATGTATCAGTCAGGTCTCCATAACCCCCAAAGTACTTGATTTTATCGTTCCGCATAAACTTATCAGCACTCGTGAAAGCCAGATTCGTGAACAGTAAGTTTGCGTTCATCAAAATCAAGGCTGCATTAACCACATCACTTTATGTCAGTTGTTAGAGCACCGCTACTTACATTGGCGACTAACCGTAGTCGTGATACTCGACATCAAAAGTGCCTTCAGTCCGGTGGATTGACGCATTCTTCGGGACTTTTCGATCGTGAAAGGCGTGTGCGAGAAGTTCGTAGACATTATCGGAACGCTTGCGCGCCTAGTTCGATAAGGGTGAGGGCTTATGGCATGCTGTTGCTGTCCTTCAATATCTCCAGCGATTTGAGGATGTTGCCCGCTGCCACCCTTCCTTTTTAGCTTCCCCGTTGACGAATTGATGAAAACTGCATTCATTAAACGCGACTTGGAAGATGTGAACCTGCTTCCAGTTTATCTACTTTTTCATTTGGAGTCTGCAGGTTATATTGCCCTCATCTGTGATAACTCACAAACGTGTCAAGCAGTACTAGACATAGTGGCACTGACTGTCTGCCGTTTCAGGTAAAGCTCTTAAAAATTGGCAGAGACCTCCCCTGCACTTACCC